CAACTATGAGCCCAATGAAACTTCAATACTTTTTTGCAGGTATTCTCCCTCAAAATAGCTTATAATCCTTACAGTTTGACTTCAATTTATTGCCAAAAGAATCACCACATTTTTCCACATACGATGGGCAATAAATTGACTGAAAATATCCTATGGGCCAAATCGGCTTCTTATGCGCCCCTGTCCTTTGTGTAATAACAATAAAATTTCGAATGATCTTCTATATATAATGTTCAATGTGTATGTGTGTGTCTGTGCCCAAGTCCAAGTTAGGACTTGACTGGATAAATGCCAGAGGAGAATATATTGTCTCAAACTCAAACTATACATACGTCTCAGTATAAAGAATCCAACAAATGAAATCTTTGCTCGCTTAACATCAACAAAAAAAAACATATATCATTGAGGAGAACACATCGAACTGAGAGGCAGAGGTAACAGCATAGCACACGTCACATGGACAAGTAAGGATACATTTTTACTTTCATCACAGCGCTCTTACCTTCACGCAGTGATGCGTATGCGAGTCGCACCAATCACTGTAAAGATGTAATTACAGTAAAAATGTGTCGAAAAAGTTTTTTAAAATGCAAATTTCTCAACATTAGACTCATTATCGGATTATTTATGACTGTCAGGATTTTGTTTCTGAATGTCAATATTTTGATATGTTATATTATCATTATATTTATATGAAGAAATTCAAGATAACAATTACGTCTTGTTATGTCAATAGAACACATTTTATACACTAACAAAAGGAATATATTCATTTAAAACATGTCTGTTGAATCAAAAATATTGTTTAATGATTTGCCTACTGAAATTATTTTTCATATATTTGATTATTTATCAAATAATGATATTATTTATACATTCTTTTATTTAAATCAACGATTAAATAATGTATTATTAAACAATAAACGTTATTTAAACTATTTCGAATTACCAACAACAAATATAAGTATTTGGAAAAATATTCTTTCAAACATAGTTTCACAAATAGAAATATTAAATATTTCAACAATTGATATAACATTTCAATTGTCATTATTTCCAAATTTAAAATCCATCATAATAAGTTCATCACATGGTTTTCCAGATGAAGAATTAATATCAATTATTGAATGTGATATATTTAAATATTTACATTGTTTAATAATAAAAGAAAATAAAATATTTCCTGATCCTGTTAGTGAGAATTTTATAATTAAACAAAATATTATTTTAAAAAAAATTTTCAATTATAAAAATTCCTTAAAAACTTTTCAATATTCATCAGTAATACCACCATTAGCACAAACAGATATAAATACATTTCAAATATATATTTCTTTATATTCGTTAACATTAATATTAACTGATTTTAAAGATATATATTCAGTGATTTTTTATACACCAAATTTAAAATATTTAAATATTCAATGTGAATCACCTTATCAACATCATAATCCAATTATCAATATAAATATAAAATTAAAACAATTTTATTTAAAACTAATACAAAAGTTATCACCATCTTATGGACGAAGACCTTTTCAAATTGATTTTAATCAATTATTCAATTGTATAAAACAGTTTTCATCATCATTAGTTTGTTTATCACTCGATTTCGTTGAATTGAATATTGAAACTGAAGATGAATTTCCATTTAATAGTATCAAACTTCAACAACTGTTAGAATCTATGAGAGAACTTAAAAATTTTTATCTCTATGCTAAATTATATACGAATTCTTATAATGCTAATCATATTCTATCAAAGTTTAAAAATCAATATTATCTTGATCATAATTTATCATTTGGAATGCATTTAAATTATTTTTATACATTACCATTTCATTTTGACCATCTTTATGAAATTTATAATAATTTTAATGATATTAAATCAAATCATCCAGAAATTTTTCATTTGATAATTTTTCATAATTTCATTCATATCTAAATTTTCAATG